GAAAAGAGAGTTTAGGCCCAGGGTTCCACTGGGGGCCAACCAAAGCGCGGAGTCTGCCAGTGGCCCCAACTTCTATTTAGTACAAAGCTGGGGGCAGGGTAGGTAGGGCGTGGCACTGGTGATTAGTGATAGGGTCAAGTACATCTCGTGTCACATAGGTAGGGGCCCAAGACTTTCAGGTAGCCAAGATGAGGTAAGGAGCATAATGCGTCAGCACTGTTCCATACTTGTTAAGAAAGAACAGAGACATTAAGATTTGTATTACTTTTACTGATTATCTCTTCTAAGAAAAAAGGAACCAGGTGTAGAAGCAGAACATGAGAGTGGACATGGAACATGACCACTGAAGCACAGCATCACATAGAGACAATTAAGCCCCTGGACGTCTGCGGGGCTCCCTGACAGTGTCAGGCCTGCCGAAAGAGCTCGGAGGAGCAGAGTCTTCCCCTAACTCCCCTGAGGAAGGAGAAGTCTTGGCCATCTTGGACGTCTCCTTCCCTAGCTGGCTAAACAGCGGGCGCTTCCCCATCGCTGGCGCTACCGCACAGCGAAGGCACCCTACCCTTACACTGGCGTGACATAGGGCTTAAATTATCTTGCCTTAGGATCATTTCCTTCACAATTTCACCCCAGGTTCACACTTTCGACCTGAGAGGCGTTAGTAAAAGAATTAGCATCACCTATGAATAACTAAGATCTCCTGTGAATAACTAATAACTACTATGCTTATATTTCTAGTTACTTTCTTCTTCATTGTTTATATGGAAATAGGCTGAGGCTTCTGGCTCCTGCCTCAGCACTTATGGGGTCTTCCTGCTACAGGAAGCAACTATAAAGAATGAAGCAGTGAAGGAACATGACCAGATTCACGGCTTAGAAAGCCACTTTGGCTGCTGTGTAGAGAATGGACCAGGTGGAGTGAGACAGGAAGCAAGGAGGCAAGCTGGGTGGTTCCTGCAGTAAGCTGGCGTGGGCGGTGGAGAGGGCAGGGCTTGTACTGATGGCTTCAGAGACTAAAGAAGTGGACGGATGGAGACATATTTAGAGAGGGAATCTACAGAATTTGTTCGGTTGGGCACAGTGGCTCACGCCTGCAATCCCAGCACTTTGGGAGGCCGAGGTGGGTGGATCACAAGGTCAGGAGTTCAAGACCAGCCTGATCAACGTGGTGAAACCCTGTCTCTACTAAAAATACAAAAATTAGCTGAGCATGGTGGTGTGCACCTGTAATCCCAGCTACTCAGGAGGCTGAGGCAGGAGAATTGCTTGAATCCAGGAGGCGGAGGTTGTAGTGAGCCAAGATTGCGCCACTATGCTCCAGCCTGGGCAACAGAGTGAGACTTCATCTCAAAAAAAAAAAAAAAAAAAAAAGAGGCCGGGCGCGGTGGCTCATGCCTGTAATCCCAGCACTTTGGGAGGCCAAGGCAGGTGGATCATGAGGTCAAAGAGATCCAGACCATCCTGGCCAACATAGTGAAACCCCATCTCTACTAAAAATACAAAAATTAGCTGGGCATGGTGGCGTGTGTCTGTAGCCCCAGCTACTTGGGAGGCAGAGGCAGGAGAATCGCTTGAACCCGGAAGGTGGAGGTTGCAATGAGCCAAGATTGCACCACCACACTCCAACCTGGTGACAGAGCGAGATTCTGTGTCAAATATATATATATATTTGCCAGGTGTGGTGGCACATGCCTGTAGTCCCAGCTACTCGGGAGGCTGAAGCATGAGAATCTCTTGAACTCAGGAGGTGGAGGTTGCACTCCAGCCTGGGTGAAGTGACACAATTTTGGTTTACTGCAACCTCCGCCTCCTGGGTTGGAGTGAGACTCCATCTCAAAGAAAAAAAAGAAAAGAAAATGAAACATCATGACAGGCATCATCACTATCATTTCACCAACAAGGAAACTAAGGCCTAGGTCAGGTTAAAGGCCACAAAGCTAAGACGGGTCAGGACTGATGTGAATGCAGGTCACTGTCGTCAAGTTCCAGAATCTCATGCCGCCAGGATTCTTTAGAGGAAGTTCATTTCCTCATTCCTGCACACATTCACTTAAGCATGCCAAGGGCCTCGTGGGCCCTAGCCTGTGACAGATGGGGGGTGACAGAGTCTAGAAGGTCGTAGTCCTGCTGTCAACCAGCTTCCATTCTAAAGGCTTCATGTCTGCGGCCCAGGGCGCCTGCTACCCAGCCCTTCAAAAGGACTCAGTCACTGCCCAGCTGTCAGTGCCTTCAGGGTCCTCTCAGCTCTCAGATCGAGGTCACCCTCTTCCTTGGTGGCCAGTGACTAAGCAAGACAGTGGTATCAGGGCCTCTTCTGTCTAACAGGGGACTCCTCTGTCAGGCACTCAGATCCAGAGCGTCTCTGGTGGCGCCCTCTGCCCAATCTCCTTCCTCCCTGTTTTTTTTTTTTGAAACAGGGTCTTGCTCTGTTGCCCAGGCTGGAGTGCAGTGGCATGATCATAGCTCACTGTGGCCTCCAACTCCTGGGCTCAACTGATCCTCCCACCTTAGCCTCCCAAGCATATGGGAATACAGCCACCACGCCTGGCTAATTTAGACAATTTTTTTTTAGAGACAGGGTCTCGCTATGTTGCCCAGGCTGGTCTCAAAACCCTGGCCTCAAGAAATCCTCACATCTCAGCCTCCCCAAGTGCTAGGATTTATAGGCATGAGCCACCATGCCCAGCTCCCTTCCTTCCCTTTGTTCTCCTAACTGCATCTCAGCATCTGCTCCTGAGGACCAAGGGCATTTAGTAAATTGTGAACTTCCCATCAAACCTGTGGTGGACTAACCTGGGGACAATGGTCACTGTCCCCTCTGGTGCATTCTTTGTCCCCCTCAGCCTAGTAAGCTCCAGGGTCTGGCAGCTGACACAGAGTAGGAGGCCTGCACTCCCCGACCTTTCTACGTTGCCCACAGTCCTGTGCCCATCCTGTCCTCAGGCCTACCAGGGCCATGACCAACCTGCCAAGGGTGTGAGAATCTGTGTGTGACCCAGCTGTAGGAGGAGGTGGAGCAGCTCTAGGAGGAAGGTAGGGGAAGCTGCTGCCCCAGTAGGTTTACAGGGAGGGTGGGGTGGGGGCGCGGCAGGGCCAGGCAGTGAGGGTGTGTGAGTGCCTGTCTGGCTCTCTTGGGTGGGGCTGGATGAATGTTTGGGTACAGGCAGTGGCTGTCACATGGCCTGGCTGCGGGTTTGGGACAGAAGCCAGGTAGGTGGGCTGTGTCAGGCACAGCTACAAACTGTGCCAAGGAAGCGGACCAGAGCAGGGGCCCAGGGAAACATCTGCCTTGTCAGAAGACACTAAGGAGACAGGATGATTTGGGGAGATCTTCCAAGGCCCATGGTGCTTCATGGAGCCAGGGCCCAGGGCAGGGAGGGCTATAACCCTGGATTGGCTGATTGGCTGAACACAGACAGATTGAAGGGGGTGTGAGCAGCCGCCTAAGTGGATGCCTAAGTGAGGGGGGAGTGGGTGGCCAGGTGGCTGAGACCCCCAAGACCAGGACCTCACTGTCAGGCCTGTGGCTTCCATACGCCAGCGGGAAGCATTCCCCTTTGGGCACTGAAACCATCAGCTTCAGCTTCACATCCTTTTCCAAACAGACAGAAGCCCCTAAAGTAACCTCAAAAGTTACTTCTCCTGGCCTTCCCTTGGAGGAGAAAGGAGAGGGGTACCTGTGGGCAGGTGGCCCTTAGCGCTGGTGGAGGGCACAGCAGAGAGACTGCCTGCATGTGGGAGTATCCACAGCAGACTTGCCCAGACTTCAGTGCTTGTTTGAAGCAAACTGTGAAACAATCACCATTTAGCCCAGGTGTAGTGGCCCATCCCTGTAATCCCAGCACTTTTGGATCCAAGGCAGGAGGATCTCTTGAGCCTAGGAGTTTGAGCCTGCAGTGAGCTATGACTACACCACTGCACTTCAACCTGGGCAGCAGAGGAAGACACTGTCTCTAAAATAAATAAATAGGCTGGGCGAGGTGGCTCACGCCTGTAATCCCAGTGCTTTGGGAGGCTGAGGCAGGTGGATCACTTGAGGTCAGGAGTACGACACCAGCCTGACCAATATGGTGAAACCCTGTCTCTACTAAAAATACAGAAATTAGCTGGGCATGGTGGCATGTGCCTGTAGTCCCAGCTACTCAGGAGGCTGAGACAGGAGAATTTCTTGAACCCAGCAGATGGAGGTTGCAATGAGCCGAGATCATGCCACTGCACTCCAGCCTAAGCAACAGAGTAAGACTTTGTCTCAATAAATAAATAAATAAATAAATAAGTACATAAATAAATAAATTAAATAATAATGATAATAAAATATCAATTCCAACAGCGATTAACGTTAAAAAAAAGTAAAAGAAAAAAAGCAAAAAATAAAAATACAAGCATAATTATTACAACTTAAATGGTTTGTCTGCACTGACAAACAAATGGATGAAATATCATACTGCATGGAATTCCTTTAAAATAACTCTGGAGTGTGGGAAGGTTTGTGTGGAAGTAAATAAAATCAGCTTCTGCTGGATAACTTTTAAAGGCAGCCAGTGGGTACGTGGGAGTTTTTAAAAATTCCCTCTTTACCTTTGTGTACATTTGAAAACTGTTGTCATTAAGCTTTAAAAGTAATCTCACACCTGTAATCCCAGCACTTTGGAAGGCCGAGGCAGGCAGATCACGAGGTCAGGAGTTCGAGACCAGCCTGATCAACATGGTGAAACCCCATCTCTACTAAAAATACAAAAACTAGCTGGGTGTGGTGGCACACGCCTGTAATCCCAGCTACTCAGGAGGCAGGAGAATTACCTGAACCTGGGAGGCAGAGGTTGCAGTGAGCCAAGATTGTGCCACTGCACTCCAGCCTGGGCAACAGAGTAAGACTTTGTCTCAAAAAAAAAAAAAAAAAAAAGAAAGTAATCCAGGTAAAGTCTTTGTTTAAAAAAAAAAATTGTGCCCCATGACCAGCACCTTTTGGACAACTCTGGACTATGCCAACCCAAGTTCACTTTTTTCTGTCTCTCTGTCTCTCTCTCTTTTTTTCTTTTTCTTTTTTAAGAGGTGGAGTCTTGCTCTGTTGCCCAGGCTGGAGTGCAGTGGCCTGATCATGACTCACTACAGCCTCCAACTCCTGGCCTCAAGCAATCCTGGCTCAGCTTCCTGGGTAGCTGGGACTACAGGTGTGCACCGCCACACCTGGCCTAAAACTTTATTTTATTTTAATTTTTTTGAGACAGAGTCTTACACTGTCTCCCAGGCTGGAGTGCAGTGACGCAATCTCAGCTCACCGCAATCTCTGCCGCCCGGGCTCAAGAGATTCTCCTGCCTCAGCCTCTCGAGTAGCTGGAATACAGGTGCCCACCACCACACCCAGCTAATTTTTGTATTTTTAGTAGAGATGGGGTTTCATCATCTTGGCCAGGCTGGTCTTGAACTTTCAACCCCATGATCCAACCGTCTCGGCCTCCCAAAGTGCTGGGATTACAGGTGTGAGACAACACGCTCGGCCAAAACATTTTAAATCATGATAAAATGCACATAAAATGTGTCATCTTAGCTACGTTTTTCTGTTGTTGTTTATTTATTTATTTTTTAAAGACGGGGTTTCACCATGATGGCCAGTCTGGTTTTGAACTCCTGATCTCAGGTTATCCACCTACCTTGGCCTCCCAAAGTGCTAGGATTACAGGGATGAGCCACCGCGCCCAGCCTTTTTTGTTGTTTTTTTGAGACGGAGTCTCTCACTGTTGCCCAGGCTGAAGTACAGTAGCCCTCTCTCAGCTCCCTGCAACCGCCGCCTCTCAGTCCAAGAGATCTCATGCCTCAACCTCCTGAGTAGCTGGGATTACAGGTATGTGCCACCACACCCAGATAATTGTTATATTTTTAGTAGAGATGGAGTTTTGTCATGTTGGCCAGGCTGGTCTCGAACTCCTGGCCTCATGTGATCCACGCACCTCAGCCTCCCAGAGTGCTGGGAGATTTCAGGCATGAGCCACCGCACCTGGCCTCTTAACCATCTTTAAGCATACAGTTCAGTAGTGTGAAGCACATTCAAACTGTGTGGAACCCATCTATACAGCTCTCTTCATGTTGCTGCTGTAGTTTCACAATGACTCCTCCAGACTTCTTCCACCCCCAACCCCTTGACATAAATCACTGCAACTGAGGGATTGCAGCCCAGGAGTTCCTGAGCAAAGTACCCTGTTACCACTTGGGGTGGCAGCTCGACTTGGACTTAGCTGTGGGGCTGGTCCAGGTTTCTGGTGGCACATGAGTGGGCCAGTGGGACTGCCTGGACTTCCAGGGCGTGAGTCCTTGCGGGCTCCTGGAGGTCTGAGCTCGGCCCCAGGCAGGCACCTGAGCAAGTCGTGGCAGCTCTCAACCTCCACCCCAACCTCCTGCCTGGGGGTGCCCCAGTCACCCCTGGGGGTGGGGGCACCCATGGAAGAGGAAGCAGGAGTTAACAAAGGCTCCCCCTCAGCTCTGCTGACTCAGGGAAGGCAGCCCAGGTCCAGGAGTCCACTTTCACCCTAGGTGCAAGAGTGGGCTGGGTGGGTGCACAGCCCCACTGCCTCCACTCCACAGCCACAATACACCTCTGTGACACAGCTTTAGAACAATCTCGGGCTGGATGTGGCAACACACAGTGGTAATCCCAGCACTTTCGAAGGCTGAGGCAGGAGGATTGCTTGAGCCCAGCAGCTTGAGACTAGCTTGGGCAACATAGACCTTGCCACTATTTTACCAAAAACCTTTTTTCTTTTTTTTGAGATGGAGTTTTGCTCTTTTTTTACTCAGGCTGGAGTGCAGTGGCATGATCTCGGCTCACTGCAACCTCCGCCTCCTGGGCTCAAGCGATTCTCCTGCCTCAGCCTCCCAAGTAGCTGGGATTATAGGCATGTGCCACCACATCTGGCTAACTTTGTATTTTTTAGTAGAGACGGGGTTTCACTATGTTGGCTAGGCTGGTCTCAAACCCCTGACCTCAAGTGATCTACCCGCCTCAACCTCCCAAAGTGCTGGGATTACAAGCATAAGCCACCATGCCCAGCCTAAAAAACAATTTTAAAAATAAATAAAAATTTTAAAAAGACCAATCTTGGAGGAACTGGCAGAGCTAGGGCCGGCACCAGGAGTTATCTGTTAGCTTGCCCTTTGCAAGGTCTGAAACCCTCTGATGCTATCTCTCTAAGAACCCAGCTCGCCTCCCTCAGGCTGGGGCCTGGCCCAGCTCCAGGGGAGAGAGGACAAGGGAGGGCAAGGAGTGAAGGGCGGCCAGGGGACACATAGCTGTCAAGTCCCTGGACATGCCCAGGGGATGCTGCCTGCTTTACAAATGAAGAATCCGAAACTCAGGAAGGTCACTAGGAAGTCACGGACAGGACTAGGATTCAGAGCCAGGGCTGCCTTGCTTCAGCTCCTCCTCCTGGTTAGAAAACAGCCCTGAATTGCTTTTTTGCAGATGATAGCTTGGAGCTGAGCATGGCCAACTGTCAGGCACCAGAAGAGGAATTAGGGGAATCTGGACATGCGCTGGCCACCAGTCTCCCACACTCAGGGCTCACTGTCTTTGAGGGTGACAGAGGATAACGCACTGTGACAAGCACCATCACAGCAAAGAAATGGAAAAAGCCTGGAGCAGCAAGAGGATGGGGTGATGATTAATTTTGCCTTGAGGGTAGAAGGAGGGGCCTTGAGGACAATGGGTGCTCTTAATGGACTGTCCCAACAACCAGCCTCTTACAGATGAGGACACAGAGGCGGTCCCCAGAGCAAAGGTGTACGGAAGCAGTAGCAGTGGCTTGGACCAAAGACTAAAGGAGTCGCAGGACCAGTCTTGAAGCTGGGACTCCACCTCTCCAGCAGAGGAGTGTAGGGACAGAATATGTAGGCTACAAGGCTCCCTCTGGGGCAGAGTAGGGGATGGCTGGGGAGCAGGAAGCCAGAGCAGGTTGTTGCAATAATCAAGAAGAAAGGTGATGAGGCCAAAGGTGGTGGCCAGAGAGATGAGGAACTCCTCCTCACAGGGTGGCTGCAGGATGATAAAGTCCACTCACAGACAGCGTGGATGCAGGACAGACCACAGACCCACCACAATGAAGATGCATGCCGGTGTGGGGAGTACACAGCCTTCCAACACTTCAAGACAGGCCCATGACAAGCATTCTGTCCTTCTGACAAACCTTCCCCATAAGTAAAAGGCAGAAGGACCTACCAGGCTTGGTGGCTCATACTTGTAATCCCAGCACTTTGGGAGGCTGAAGGGGGCAGATCACATGAGGTTGGGAGTTCGAGACCAGCCTTACCAACATGGAGAAGCCCCGTCTCTACAAAAAATACAAAATTAGCGAGGCATGGTGGCACTTGCCTGTAATCCCGGCTACTCTGGAGGCTGAGGCAGAATTGCTTGAACCCAGGAGGCAGAGGTTGCAGTGAGCTGAGATCACGCCATTGCACTCCAGACTTGGCAACAAGAGTGAAACTCAGTCTCATAAAAAAAAAAAAAAAAAGGAAAAGGGAGAAGGACCAACTGACCTTCACAGATGCTTGCTGCTTGCCAGGTACTGTGCAGGGTGCTTTAGAGATACTAGCTTACTTAACCCTCCCCTTTTAGAGATGAGGAAACCAAGGCTCAGGGAGAGAAATTAAATTGTCCCAGGTCAGCCAATTCAGGAAGTGGGTGCATCCAGGGAGCTTGGTTTCACTTCCCCTGGCCTGGCACCTTCAGAGCCCCGCCCTTGGCATCTGAGCAGCATGGCTCCCATGCCAACTCTACAGGAATGCCATGTCTGGTGGCAAGTGGCCCCTTGCAGGAGCATTGGTGTGTAAGCCCAGGAAGGTGAATAAAGTTCACTGAATACAAGTTCCTCCCACCACAGCAGGAGTCCAGCTTGGCCTCTCCCATGCTGTTCAGGCAAATGTTGGAGGAGAGAAAAGAGGCCTGGCCTCCTATTGGCTTCTGCCTCCTCACCTTTGCCCAGCCCACTTCCTTCTCTCAAAGACCTCAGCAAGGCCAGTGGCAGGCCAGGGTCAAGGGAGAACAAAAGGCAGCCTGCATGGACAGGAGTGCAGTTGAGCACCTTCTTTTCTTTTTTTTTTTTTGAGATGGAGTCTCGCTCTGTAGCCCAGACTGGAATGCAGTGGGGTGATCTTGGCCTACTGCAACCTCCGCCTCCGGAGTTCAAGCGATTCTCCTGCCTCAGCCTCCCAAGCAGCTGGACTACAGTCGCACGCCACCATGTCCGGCTAATAATTATTAATTTTTTTGTAGAAACGGGGTCTTACTATGTCACCCAGGGAACTCCTGGGCTCAAAGAATCCTCTCGACTCAGCCTCCCAAAGTGTTGGCATTACAGGCGTGAGCCACCGCACCCAGCCCAGAATCTGAGTTTTCAACAGAACTTTTCTGTGACCCCCTCTCTCTCTTCCTCATGCCATTTGTTGCAAGTGTATTCTTACAAGAACCTTCTCAAACCCTCTTATGAACATCTCTATCACTGCCTCTCCCACTCAGTTGACAGAATGAACACCTTCTCGGCAGCAAAGACCCAGCTTCCAGGCCCTCCTTGGCCCTGTTTCTTACTCTAGAGACCCAGCTGACCCGACCTCCTTGCCTGCCTGCGCCACCTCACAAGCCCCACGTCCAGCTGCGTGCACAAGCCCCTCTCTCTCTCTGAACGCTTCAGAGGCTCCCAGCGCTCACTTCATGAGGCTTCTCTGGGTCTGCTCTCGGGTGCCACCTTCATCCCTTCCCGCTACTAACCTGTCCCACCCCGGGCTTGGACCTCGCTAGGGAGCTGAACGTGCCCTGCCTTCTCTAGCCCTGCCATCTGCTTCGCTGGGAGCACTCCTCGATGGAAATGCTTCCAGGACCATGTCAGAAGCCATTGCTCCAGTGAAGCCTTTCCTTGGCTCCCAACAAACAGTCAAATGGGTCCTTGCTCTGAAACTTTATCTGTCTCAATGAGTAACTCTCAAGGGCTGAGACCCAGAGCAGCTGTTAATGAGTTTTCTTAGGTCCTCTGAAATCTGACCCTACTTTTAAAAATTCTGGCAGAGCAAAATCACACCATTGTTCTCTAGCCTGGGCAACAAGAGTGAAACTCAGTCTCAAAAAATAATAATAATAAAAGAAGTTCTTCCGGCTGGGAGAGGTGGCTGACACCTGTAATCCCAGCACTTTGGAGTCCAAGGTGGGCAAATCGTTTGAGGTCAGGAGTTCCTGACCAGCCTGGACAACATGGTGAAATCTCATCTCTGCTAAAAATACAAAAGTTAGCCAGGCGTAGTGGCATGCCTGTAGTCCCAGCTACTTGGGAGGATGAGGCAAAAGAATTGCTTGAACCTGGGAGGCGGAGGTTGCAGTGAGCAGAGGTCGCGCCACTGCACTCCAGCCTGGGTGACAAGAGCAAAAACCCATCTCAAAAAAAAAAAAAAAAAAAAAAAAGAAGCTCTTGGTAGAAGTTCTATGCTTCTATTCTGTCCTAACAAGAATTGGTAAGGACAGCATAGAACACAAGGGGTTGCAAACTTCTGGGCCATGGGCCAAATCTGTCCACAAGAGACAAAATGTTTTTTAATTGAGGTAAAATTTCCGTACCATAAAATCAGCCATTTTAAAGCAAACAATTCAATGACATTTGTATATTCACAATGTTGTGCAACCACCACCTCTGTGAGGATCCAAAACATTTTCCTCTTCCCACAAGGAAACGCTATGCTCCTTAAGCAATCACTCTGCCCTTCTCCCTCCCCACAGCCTCTGGCTCTAATCTGCCTTCTGTTTGTGTGGATTTGCTTCTTACAAGTGGCATCATTACCGCATGTGGCCTTTGTGTCTGGTTTCTTTCAGCTGCCATAATGTTTTAGAGGTTCATCCATGTTGAAGCAGGTATCATCAGTATTTCATTCCTATTTTCTTTTTTGAGACACAGTCTTATTCCATCAGTCAGGCTGGAGTGCAGTAGCACAATCTCCATTCATTGCAACCTCTGCCTCTGGGGTTCAAGCGATTCTCCTGCCTCAGCCTCCCAAGTAGCTGAAATTACAGGCTCGCTCCACCATGCCTGGCTAATTTTTGTGTTTTTAGTAGAGACAGAATTTTGCCATGTTGGCCAGGCTGGTCTTGAACTCCTGACCTCAAATGAGCCACCTGCCTCGGCCTCCCAAAGTGGTAAGATTACTGGGGTGAACCACCACATCCAGTCTTCTTCTTCTTCTTTTTTAAGACAGATATGGGGTTTTGCGAGTTGCCCAGGCTGGTCTTGAACTCCTGGCCTCCCAAAGTGCTGGAGGATTTCAGACGTGAGTCACCACGTGGCCTTCATTTCTTTTTTAGGGCCGAATAATATTCCACTGAATGGATCCATAGTTTGCTTACACCTTCATCAATTGTTAGTTTGAACTGTTTCCACCTTTTGGCTATTTGACTACTATGAGTAGCACTGCTGAGAATATTACTTGTTTGAGGAATGTAATCACTAAGTCATGTGGTAACTTTTTGTTTAACTTTTGAATTGGAAACGGTGTTTTAATTTTTCGAATATGAATCCTTTACGTGTCTGTGTCTCTGTTTCCATGTCTTCCTACTGTCTTACAATAGGAAGCTCACGACTCATTTACGTAATTTTTCTGGCCCCTGGAGGCACCTGAGTTTGCTGCCCCCAGAAGACTTTGGAGGCAAAAAGAAAATAACTTTGTGCCCAATTCAGCCAGAGTAGTGGGGTAAAGTCTTTTCACTTCTCAAAGTACTACTGTGGCTCTGCCTCAAAGGGGGGAGATAGCGTTTTCCGGAGAGTAGGCGGCGACAATCCGGGAGGTGAGGGACCTCAAGAGCCTCTTCGTTAGGCGGGCAAGGCGAACCGGGAAGGAGGAGGAGCGGGCGGGTTGTGCGCCCTCTGGGGCGTGGGCAGCGCTCGGGGCTGCTCGCCCCCGGGGTCCGAGCCCCAGCGCTCAGGGCTGTAGCGACGTGGGCGCAGCCAGCCCGGATTTCGCGCGCCACCACCGCGCGGCGCCTCGGTGAGTCCCGGCCGGGGGCGCGGTCTGTCCCGGGCGGGGCCCAGGTTGGCTCGGGGGTGGGCGGGGGTTGCCCCCCGGCCCCGCCCCCCACATCCGGGGGCCGGGCCGGGCTCTGGGCTCGCCGTGAGCGGATGAGTCAGGCCGGGTTTTCCCTCCGCCTTTGGGGCAGGCGAGCGAGCGCCGCGGAGCGCGTCCCTCCCTCGCCAATCCGGCTCCGGCGCCCGCCCGCCCGCGTTTTCCCGGCGCCTGCCGCCCAGCCGCTCTGACCTGGCTCGCAGTCGCGGCTGGAGCCGGCGTTTTGCAGAAGGGTTCAAAGCCGCGCGGGGGAGCTGCGACGCGCGGGGGCTGCGGAGCCAAGGGCCGGCGAGTGAGTCGCCAGCATGGTAAGCGGGGCGCTCTGGGGGCCGGGACCCGGGGCTGGACTCGGGGGGTGGGGCGGAGCAGGTCTCCGAGGTATGGTTTTCCGGCGTCCTTGGTGAAGGTGCAGCCCCCGCTGGCCGAGGCTCCCGTCTGAGAGATGGGCGGGGGTGGCAGGGTGCGGCGTGCGCCCAGGTGTCCCTGCTCCCGGGCAGCCAGGCGCCGGATCGGGGGCCGATCCCGATGCTCCGCTGGTGGGGCAAGCGGCCGGCTACCCTGCTTTCCCCAAACCCTGCAAACGCGCTTTCCTGGGAGCAGTGCTCGGGACCCCTGCGCCACGGCTGGGTGGGGCAGGCGTCCTTGGCGCCGGAGTCTGACCTCGGCCTCCGCCCCCCTGCCCAGCCGCTCCAGCCAGGCCCCAGGGAGGGGCCAAGAGGAGACGCGTTTCCCTCCCCGCCCCCTAGGTAGCTCCAGGACCTCTGGGGAGCCCTCGCCTTCACCCCTGCCTTCCTAAGAGAAATTCCATGCGGCTGCCAACCTTGTTTGCCCCTCCGACTTCCCCACGAGATCTCTCGCCTCCTCCCAACACCTCCTTTATCCCCCCCAACCCCCTGCCGTGTCCGGGCTGCAGCTAGGGGTCTGCGGGTAGGGGACATTCCTAGGTCTTGACCGCCAGAGCACGCGGTCCAGTCCCGGCCATAGCCTTTGGCCAAAGTGAGGGCTGGGGCCAAGCCGAAATCAGGGACCTGACAGTCTCCAGAAAGAGAACTGGGACCCATTGTCTCCCACTGGACCACCCCCTGACCCCAACTACATAGGAACACATTTGGCCTGGCTGTCCTCAGGAGGGAGCGGACGCAGGAGGCCATCCTGGGCGCAGTGATCAGCCTTCTCCCAGGGCCTTCCCGGCCAGGGCTCCTCTACCGGCTGGCAGTATGTGGGTGTGCATGTGCGAGACTGAATGAATGCGGCCAGCCTGCTCCTGCTACCGCCTCTAGAGCTAGAACTAGCATAGGGACTCGGAGTCCCCGGGAGGCAGGTTTCCTCTAGTTCTTCCTGACCTGGGGGTCAACAGGAGGCATTCCAGGCCGGGTGGACTGCAGTCCAGACCAGCCTGGTTGCAGGTGTCCTTGGGAGAAACTTGTGTGGAGGGCCAGGCAGACATACGTGCAATGCGTACACAGCAGTGTGCCCATGGAGGGAACCCGTGACCCCTGGCTAGGATAGCGAGCTGAGGTAGAGGACCTTGCCCAGGGAGTGGAGACTGCTTCTCACTGTGGGGTCTTGGACAACTCACCTCGTCTTCCTAGGCCTCGGTTTCCTGATCTGTAAAATGAAGTGAGGGTAATTACTGTCCTGTTTGCCCCCATGAGGCTACTGTGGAGATGAAATGAGATAATGAAATGGAAGGGCTGCAGCCCGGAAGGCCTATATAGTGGGCCTATATAGTGATACTAAGCACCACTCCTGCAGGCGTCAGCCCCTGGTCTTTGCCTCAAGTGTCTGTCACAGAGGAGATGGGGTGGGCCAGCCTCTCCCAGCCCCTCTCTGGGCCCCCCTTGCCCACCACCCCCTCTTTTGGAGCTGGGACATTCCAGTCCCATTCCTTAGGGACAGCTGCAGACACGCCCCTTAGCAGAACTGATCCCCCAGCAGGTGGTGGGACCTTTCCCTGGGGCCAGGGCTCAGGAGGGGCTGACTGTAGCCAGGGCAGGCAGTACTCCTACCCATGTGGGGGCTGGGATGTTCCACCCCAGAGGAGATGCAAGGTGGGTTCAGAGAGGACTTCTAGTCCTGGGAGCCTGTGTGCTTTCTCCCCTGCAGCTTTCTCAGCTGAACATGACCTTAGGCGCATTGCTTCACTTCCTGAACCTCAGTTTCCTCTTGTGAAGTGGAATGCCAGAACTCGTCTTCTTGTGCGGATGTGATAGTGCCCTTTGTCTGACCCAAAAAGGCACCCACTAACAGGCTCTGGGACACCCCCACCCCCCCAAGGAAAGCACATGCTCTCTCTTTGCTTCCTAGCCAGCCAGGGCAGCTGTGTTCACCAAGGATTGGTCCGAAAGAGATTCCTCTCTGTGTCCAGGGATTCCAGTGCTGTCCACTAATCTTGGGGACTGGAAACGGGTGAGGGGACTGGTGGCAGGGAGCAGGAGTGAAGAGGCCTTATTGGGGCCAACTGGGATCTGCATAGAATGTGGCTTGAGTGTCCCAGCCCAAATCTAGCCAGCTGGGTGGTTGGGGGTTTGCAGCTCCCAGGGCAGGGAAGCCCAGGCACTTGACTTGCCCCCTACCCTTCTCTCCACAACCTGTGCAGGGGCCCCGGCTTTTTGCTCTGATGTTGCAGTGAGGCTGCAAGGCACTTGCTGTCTTCCCCTCCTCCTCCCCCACCAAATCCTCTCCAGCCTGCACAGCTGCCCTGCCCTGAGCAGGCAATCCCTGGGCTTCCAAGCAACAGGAAGGAAGGAATGTGTGTTGAGGGAGGGGGTAGAGGTGGGGTGGACCCATTTAGGAAAAGAGACTGTCCCCACTCTGTGACATAGGCAGGGAGGAGCGTCCTGAAAGCTGGGGGCCTCAGCCCTGCTGGGGGAGCTGATAATACAGCCAGAGAAATCAGCCAGGAGAGGCAGAGTGGGGAAGATGGGGGCCTAAGGAGAGACAAAGGGGCTGTCTGC